GTTTTCAATGATCCATGTATATAATGTTCACCACTATTTTGCCTTTAACACGCAACGGAATGTGTTTCGGTGGATAATCTACACTGTACAAGTAGGGTAGGATGTGCCAACCCTTTCCCCGAACACCTTGTATCATCACTGGTTTTCAATGATCCATGTATATAATGTTCACCACTATTTTGCCTTTAACACGCAACGGAATGTGTTTCGGTGGATAATCTACACTGTACAAGTAGGGTAGGATGTGCCAACCCTTTCCCCGAACACCTTGTATCATCACTGGTTTTCAATGATCCATGTATATAATGTTCACCACTATTTTGCCTTTAACACGCAACGGAATGTGTTTCGGTGGATAATCTACACTGTACAAGTAGGGCAGGATGTGCTTACCCTTTCCCCGAACACCTTTTATCATCACTGGTTTCAATGATCCATTTATATAATGTTCACCACTATTTTGCCTTTAACACGCAACGGAATGTGTTTCGGTGGATAATCTACACTGTACAAGTAGGGCAGGATGTGCTTACCCTTTCCCCGAACCACTTTTATCATCACTGGTTTTCAATGATCCATTTATATAATGTTCACCACTATTTTGCCTTTAACACGCAACGGAATGTGTTTCGGCGGATAATCTACAGTGATTATCTCTGGCGTGGACATTTCGAATTAAGATAAAACAAAAACAGTTGCACGTCACCAACATCTTGAGCAATCAATACAAATGAAAACCCACTTGAAAATAACACCAGTCTCACCGGGGATACCCAATTACATTTAACACTTTCGTCCATTGGTTTTAGCATCATATCACATTGGCGAGGGTATCTTCTTTCATCAATTCTAATTTAAAATACCGTAAAACAAAATTGAACAACTCTAGCTAGACTAAATAGTCCAGTGCCATACTTACAACCGTCCAGTCCTGCAAGCAATGCGTTATAAGCTGCATACTTACAACCGTCCAGTCCTGCAAGCAATGCGTTATAAGCTGCATACTTACAACCGTCCAGTCCTGCAAGCAATGCGTTATAAGCTGCATACTTACAACCGTCCAGTCCTGCAAGCAATGCGTTATAAGCTGCATACTTACAACCGTCCAGTCCTGCAAGCAATGCGTTATAAGCTGCATACTTACAACCGTCCAGTCCTGCAAGCAATGCGTTATAAGCTGCATACTTACAACCGTCCAGTCCTGCAAGCAATGCGTTATAAGCTGCATACTTACAACCGTCCAGTCCTGCAAGCAATGCGTTATAAGCTGCATATTTACCAATTCTTAAGTAAGTTTTGATATATGGTGTGTGTATCTTTTCAGTTACATCATAATAGTAAAAAGGAATTCTGTTTCGGCGGATAATCCAGACTGGTTATTCTCTGGCGTTGACGTTTGATGTTTAATGTCATCAGATATATCTAGAGAAACCTTTATCCAAGCTTTTCATTTTAAATGAAATAAAAGCAATAAAACGTAGCGATTATTACAAGCATGTTAAATTACCTATTAGTAATTACGTGAAGACGTCATAAGCCATTTCTATTCCTCATACATCTATGCTATTTTCTAATGAAGATATATGTGTTGATGATATTTCTGTTATTCAGCTTAATACAGATGTGATCTTCTATTGTGAAGACAGGTTCCAATCAGCACTTTAAGCACGTGTCTGTTTGTTCATTGACTTGCGCCAGGAAATATCAAACAACTTCGTAAGATATTATTATTCCTGTATAAACAGCTTTTTCTCTTCAAAGTTTCAACAAAACCTGTCCAACAATACAGATCTGAAAAATGTATTTGACATATAGAAACTTGTTATTTAATATTATTTAAGCCGTTTGTCAGTAGTTCAGTCATATCACGGCAGATCGATTTACTGCAGGTGGGTGGGGGAGGGGAGGGGAGGGGAGGGGGAAGGGGAGGGGGCGCTCAAGTATTACAGGTCGTAGACGTTTACGACTTGATGAAACAGGAACACCAAGTGTAGTAGATCCCTGTAGGTTTTTATGTGTCTGCATGTGAGTGCACGTGAGTTGCTTACCCTTTTTGCGAACACCTGGTGTCATCGCTGATTTCCAGGTTTCCATTCGTCTACATTTCAACCGCTATTTCACCTTTACGCTAGACAGAACCGCTTCGGCAGAAAATCGAGACTGATTGTTATGTGACATTAACGCTTTATTCTCTCTCATCATAAATTTGGTGCTATCCAATGTCGTCGATAATGAATGTCTGTGAATCAGCTGCTACTTACAGTTCACTATCATTCTCCTCCCTGAAAGTTTGCCGTGAAGGCATGACTTCCAGACGGCGGGAGGCGACTGGAACAGCCACGTCGGCTCCGTATGTCATTATGTGTTTGTGTGTTTGAATACAATTCTATAAGTAGCCTTCAGGCAGACAGTGGTGAGTAATGTTCTATTTGTACATTTACAACATCAGGGGTCACCCCAAAGCATTACTGACCCGAACTTTTCTTCCATGGTCTGTCGAAGTTAACATGCTCAATGAGTTTCCCCATGTTGCTAAATCAATGGGCTGATCAATACATCCCTACATACCATATAATTATCGCCTGTTGGGCAATATATTCTCAGTTGCAGACTTGTCAGATCCGGACAGAAAACACCCTCCTCTTGAATTAACCCCTCTCACGTGGTCGCTCGGACTTGACGCAAATTACACCTCACCTGACAGCTTCACTGATTGACCACTAGATGGCGTGACGCTGGAAGCAACCAATCGATAGTATCGTTTGTGAAAACCGCCACCTAGCGGCGTCAGTTTAGTGGTTTTCAGTCTCCTGCTTGTCGCCTGAGGTGATTCTTAACTTTAATTTGAAAGCGCAACCTTGATTACCGGGTTATTTAAGCTAACGAATTGCATAGCTCAGACATTGATACTGAATACGCTTATAGTCTTTCCCGGCTACCTGCGCCCTCTGTCGAGAGAATTGAAACTAACAAACTTTCTTCAAGTTGTGGATGTATCTTCACAAGGAATCTTTAGTCTCTGTTGACTTTAGATTTCCTCAAGTTTATTTTTGTCCGTGTCGATGTATTATCAGCGACTTCTAATTTACTTTCAGATTGTTTAATTACAACATGACCAGACATCCCAACGTCACGATGACGATACGATTAATGTCCAAGCGGTGTTAATGTATATAGATTATATATCGTGAATGGTAGTTTTGACTTTTCAACAGTCATGACTTTATCGCTTTAGCTCACCTGAATTGAAAGATCCTGCGAGATTACATCGTCCGGCTGTTGTAAACGCCTCTGAAATCATTAGGTCCTTTGATACCGCATGGAGGATGCAAGTAACCGTTTTGTCTTGAAAAATGTCTTCATCTGATCAACCTGACGGTATTTTTCATTATCAAATAATAAGTATATATATATATATATATATATATATATATATATATATATATATATATATATATATATATATATATATATATATCTGACCCGATTTCTTTGTGTGTATCATTATCAAATTATAACAAAGTATATGCTGTGCAGAATAGCATGTATATCTGACCCGATTTCTCTATATGTATCATCATTAAATTATCACTAAGTATATGCTGTGCAGAATAACATGTAATATATAATATGCATACCCGACCCGATTTCTTTGCACGTATCATTATCAAATTATAAGTATATGCTATGCAGAATAACTTGTAATATGTAACATGCATATCCGACCCGATCAGTATCAAATCATAAGTATATGCTGGGCTGATGAAGCTGGAATCCCACAAATGGTGTTCCCAAGGTGCCTATTGAAATCTGAATCTGAATTTTAACATATTGATTTTTTACCAGCACAGAGCTATTTCTGCAAGCATAGCTGTGAAATATTTTTGAACACTTGTTACATATTTTATCTATAATCCTGTTTATCCCTTTATCATGACCTTAAACATATGTGTACCCATTGTCCTATTGTATATTATCTCGGGTTTTTTAGTTCTTTTCTTGGTTTCTTCTATTTTTTATGATGCTTTAAGAAATCATTTTACTAGGTTGTTTCTTGACAGTGTTTATGTTTTCGTAACATCTTCAACTTGTTTTGAGAATGATACGGCTTTTTGAACATTTTAGCTAATTTAAATCCCCATTACGTTATTTTGAAAGCATGTCAGTAAAATGACAAATTAAAAACGTGTTTCAAGGTACTCTTGCTTCTCATATAAAATCAATTTACCACAAGACTCGTTACTGATTATCAACCCCAAGATACCAATGCATTAATATTGGTTTGCGCATGGCCAGGCAGGGAGATAACTCTCAACTCAATAACTTGATATTATACACCCGATTACCTCCACACCAGATGATGGCCGAAGATTAACACTAACCATTCCTAGCGCTATATTCATCAGCACCCTCGAGTACAGAAATCCGGCGTCTATAGATTAGGTGGAGGAACATGATTTATAATATTGTTCGGGGACTTTTTCTGAGCATGTATGTTAAAGACCTAATACCGGACCATTTTGCTGGAAAAGCTGTTATACCAGTAAATGGCTGCTGCAGTCTCAGGAGAAAATGCAAGGGTTTCGGGTAAGTATAGTTATTCGCTGCCCAACTTCGGGTACAATGATCTTGCATACGTTACACGAGGGTTTGATTTTTTTAAATGTACGACTTACAGTCGTGTTCTCTCGGGATATTCTCCAAAATCTGGCCTCTGTCACAAAGAAGGGGACATATTATAGGTCCTGATGTTTTAACCAAATAAAACATATAAAACACAGTGATGTTTAAAAGAATCGTGTCCAGATACAAGTACACGAGTACGTGACTGTGGTTAAGGAACAACACAAATCTTGACCCAAAATTTCACCATCACAACCATGACAACCACCAGAACCATCACCACCACCACCACCACCACAACCACAACTACCACCACAACCACCACAACACCCACCCTGACAATACACTGTCTGCGAATCATAAATACCATCGTGTAGACCTCTCCCAACGCAAAGAGTCTTTTGTCTACCCCTTCATCCTCTCACTATTATCCCCATCCCCGTCATCCCCGTCATCCCCATCTCCGTCATCACCCCGGCATCTCCCCGTCATCATCACCATACCGTCATCTCCCCATCATCATTCCCATCCTCGTCATCTCCCCGTCATCATCCCCATCCCGTTATCTCCCCGTCATCATCCCCATCCCCGTCATCTCCCCGTCATCATCCCCATACCGTCATCTCCCTGTCATCTCCCCATCATCATTCCCATCCTCGTCATCATCCCGTCATCACCCCGTCATCTCCCCGTCATCATCCCCAAAACGTCATCTCCCTGTCATCTCCCCATCATCATTCCCATCCTCGTCATCATCCCGTCATCACCCCGTCATCTCCCCGTCATCATCCCCATACCGTCATCTCCCTGTCATCTCCCCATCATCATTCCCATCCTCGTCATCATCCCGTCATCACCCCGTCATCTCCCCGTCATCATCCCCAAAACGTCATCTCCCTGTCATCTCCCCATCATCATTCCCATCCTCGTCATCATCCCGTCATCATCCCGTTATCTCCCCGTCATCATTCCCATCCCCGTCATCTCCCCGTCATCATCCCCATACCGTCATCTCCCTGTCATCTCCCCATCATCATCCCCATACCGTCATCTCCCCGTCATCTCCCCGTCATCATCCCCTTACCGGCATCTCCCTGTCATCTCCCCATCATCATTCCCATCCTCGTCATCATCCCGTCATCACCCCGTCATCTCCCCGTCATCATCCCCATACCGTCATCACCCTGTCATCTCCCCATCATCATTCCCATCCTCCGTCATCATCCCCATCCCGTTATCTCCCCGTCATCATCCCCATCCCCGTCATCTCCCCGTCATCTCCCCGTCATCATCCCCATACCGGCATCTCCCTGTCATCTCCCCATCATCATTCCCATCCTCGTCATCATCCCGTCATCACCCCGTCATCTCCCCGTCATCATCCCCATACCGTCATCACCCTGTCATCTCCCCATCATCATTCCCATCCTCCGTCATCATCCCCATACCATCATCTCCCTGTCATCTCCCCATCATTATTCCCATCCTCGTCATCTCCCCGTCATCATCCCATCCCGTCATCTCCCCGTCATCATCCCCAACCCCGTCATCTCCCCGTCATCATTCCCATCCCCATCATTTCCCTGTTATCTCCCCATCATCATTCCCATCCCGTCATCTCCCCATCATCATCCCCATCCCGTCATCTCCCCGTCATCTCCCTGTCATCTCCCCGTCATCATTCCTATCCCGTCATCACCACGTCATCTCCCTGTCATCTCCCTGTCATCATCCCCATCCCGTCATCCCTTCGTCATCTCCCCGTCATCATTCCTATCCCGTCATCACCACGTCATCTCCTCGTCATCTCCCCGTCATCATTCCCATCCACATCATTTCCCTGTTATCTCCCCATCCCGTCATCTCCCTGTCATCATTCCCATCCCGTCATCTCCCTGTCATCATCCCCATCCCGTCATCTCCCTGTCATCATCCTTATTCCCGTCATCATCCACATCCCCGTCATCATTCCCATCCCCGTCATCTCCATATCATCACCCCCATCCCCGTCATCCCCATCCCCGTCATCACCACGTCATCTCCCTGTCATCTCCCCGTCACCATCCCCATTCCCATCATCTCCCTGTCATCTCCCCGTCATCATCCCCATCCCCAACATTTCCCTGTCATCTGCCCGTCATCATTCCCATCCCCGTCATCACACCGTCATCATCCCCATCACGTCATCCCCCGTCATCATCCCCATACCGTCATCATCCCAATCCCCGTCATCTCGATGTCATCACCCCCATCCCCGTCATCATCCCCACTCCCGTCATCCCCATCCCCGTCATCTCCCTGTCATCTCCCCGTCATCATCCCCATCCCCGTCACCCCCGACCCCGTCATCTCCCCACCCCAGCCATCCTTCCGTCATCTCCCCATCCCCGTCATCTCCCCATCCCCGTCATCATCCCCATCCCCGTCATCTCCCCACCCCAGCCATCCTTCCGTCATCTCCCCATCCCCGTCATCATCCCCATCCCCGTCATCTCCCCATCCCCGTCATCCCCATCCCCGTCATCATCCCCATCCCCGTCATCTCCCCATCCCCGTCATCATCCCCATCCCCGTCATCTCCCCATCCCCGTCATCCCCATTCCCGCCATCATCCCCATCCCCGTCATCTCCCCATCCCCGTCATCCCCATCCCCGTCATCCCCATCCCCGTCATCTCCCTGTCATCTCCCCGTCATGATACCCATCCCCGTCATCATCCCCATCCCCGTCATCTCCCCACCCCAGCCATCCTTCCGTCATCTCCCCATCCCCGTCATCTCGATGTCATCACCCCCATCCCTGTCATCATTCCCATCACGTCATCCCCATCCCCGTCATCTCCCTGTCATCTCCCCGTCATGATACCCATCCCCGTCACTCCCGACCCCGTCATCTCCCCACCCCAGCCATCCTTCCGTCATCTCCCCATCCCCGTCATCTCCCCATCCCCGTCATCATCCCCATCCCCGTCATCATCCCCATCACGTCATCCCCCCGTCATCATCCCCATCCCCGTCATCTCCCCATCCCCGTCATCTCGATGTCATCACCCCCATCCCTGTCATCATCCCCACTCCCGTCATCCCCATCCCCGTCATCTCCCTGTCATCTCCCCGTCATGATACCCATCCCCGTCATCATCCCCATCCCCGTCATCTCCCCACCCCAGCCATCCTTCCGTCATCTCCCCATCCCCGTCATCTCGATGTCATCACCCCCATCCCTGTCATCATTCCCATCACGTCATCCCCATCCCCGTCATCTCCCTGTCATCTCCCCGTCATGATACCCATCCCCGTCACTCCCGACCCCGTCATCTCCCCACCCCAGCCATCCTTCCGTCATCTCCCCATCCCCGTCATCTCCCCATCCCCGTCATCCCCATCCCCGTAATCATCCCCATCCCCGTCATCCCCCAACATTTCCCCATCTCCGTCATGCCCTGTCATCTCCCCGTCATCTTCCCCATCCCCGTCATCCCCATCCCCGTCATCCCCATCCCCGTCATCACCACGTCATCTCCCTGTCATCTCCCCGTCACCATCCCTATCCCCATCATCTCCCTGTCATCTCCCCGTCATCATCCCCATCCCCAACATTTCCCTGTCATCTGCCCGTCATCATTCCCATCCCCGTCATCATCCCCATCACGTCATCCCCCCGTCATCATCCCCATACCGTCATCATCCCAATCCCCGTCATCTCGATGTCATCACCCCCATCCCTGTCATCATCCCCACTCCCGTCATCCCCATCCCCGTCATCTCCCTGTCATCTCCCCGTCATGATACCCATCCCCGTCACTCCCGACCCCGTCATCTCCCCACCCCAGCCATCCTTCCGTCATCTCCCCATCCCCGTCATCTCCCCATCCCCGTCATCCCCATCCCCGTCATCTCCCTGTCATCTCCCCGTCATGATACCCATCCCCGTCACTCCCGACCCCGTCATCTCCCCACCCAAGTCATCCTTCCGTCATCTCCCCATCCCCGTCATCTCCCCATCCCCGTCATCCCCATCCCCGTCATCATCCCCATCCCCGTCATCCCCCGACATTTCCCCATCTCCGTCATGCCCTGTCATCTCCATCTCCCCGACATCATCCCCATCCCCGTCATCTCCCCATCGCCGTCATCCCCCCGTCATCACCCCCCCCCCCCCCGTCATCTCCCCGTCCCCGTCATCCCCCGTCATTCCCCCATTATCTCCCCGTCATCTTCCCCATCCCCGTCATCTCCCCGTCATCATCCAAACCCCCGTCATCACCTTACACCCTACACACCACACACCACCCCACCCCAACCCACACCACCCCAACCCACTGCACCCCATCCCGCCCTCCCCACTATCATACACACCAGTAGCGAAAGCAAAGACACAAAGCAGACATGCTTCTATCTTTGGGAAGCATGGCGCCCGTCTTTCTGAGAAGGTAATTGAAACTTAATTCTTCGCCGTTAGTGGTGGAATACGTAATGTGTGAATAACGTTAAATCGCTAGATCCACTCAGCAACTATCCTAGTGTCCAGCTTCCAGGAATCTTGAGAACTAGACATGGACTAACACCGGTCTCAGTTCCAAGCGTACGACTCTCTTGTACGTATGTGCTTTGAAGACATGACCCCCACTGACCTACATATCAATCATATCTTCTAAAAGGTTTATTCGGAAATCTTAGTCGATGTAAATTATTACGTGTTGCAGAGTCGCAAGAAAGAAGAGTTTTCCTGATTAGTCTCCCTTCAATATTAGGCTGCCAAAACTATTGGCAGAACTTTCAATACTGACCCTAAATGTTGATCATTTGACCTTCACTTAACAAACACATTACTGCGCATGTACCCTTCCCGACATGCATCAGTCCTTGCGCTCATCTCCATTACCGTTGTCGCTGAAGCATCCTGACCTTCCATTAACAAAAATAATAACACTTTCCCTTCGGCTATCTAAATTTCATCTACATTCAACCCCATTCCATGAAATAAAATCGACAAAAAATAGGATTTGCTTAATTGTAAATCACTCGGAATTATCTGTGTTCAAACATCGTTTCAAATTGAGTGAGTCTCGCAAGCTACATTCCGCTACTGTCACTGGCTTCCTTTCAATGGCCAATCAATATGCCTGAGGCTGAGTGTTTTCTCCCACGGCCGGGCTGTCTTTGAAAACAATGTATAAAACTGCCTATTCCGGCGATGATAGGCCAAGTAAAACAGGACGGGGAAAGTCAGAGACCCAAGCCAAGCCCTCATGTTGCACGAACTAACGCCAACCCAGCACTTGGGTCTTCACCAAGCCTCCATCCTACAGAACATTGCGTTCGATCGACCAAGTTAGAAAAATAAGCAAACTCGTGTTTGACTAAAAGTAATTTAAGGCAATCAGTGAAATTATAGAGGATGGAATAAATTCAAATAGTTTATTATTTAGATTCAAGGGCAGTGGAATCAATATAATTTTACGTGGAACTCGTATAGCTACAAAGTGTCTTCCTTTATATTCTTTTCTTCCTCACATTTCCACGCGTCTCTTTTGAAAGAAACTGATTCGTTCGGAAACAACACACGTAACTAGGTCTGAGACGTTAGAACAGTTGTCTTGAATAGATCAGTTTTATTTTACATGAAATTGATTTATTTGACACAGTTTGTAAAGTTATCTGTAGAAGACTCTACATGTCTTGTCTCATTATTTGTTTGGTCGTCGTCTGCATGTTCCAGATACAAATGAGAAAGTTTTGGCTAATATACAAACCAGTGGGTGATATTATGAGCATCGCCACTAGCCTTGGATGACACGCAGAAAATCAGGCAACGGAGCATGATCACACGATCCAAGTAAGCCTCCTCTCAAGACAAGGAGAGTGCTGGGACACGGGTCCCTAAAAGGGGTAATTGATCTGGTAAATAAAAACGACAGAATCCTTTCCATATTCATAAGAAATCTCTGCCAAAAGCAGAATCCTTTGTACGATTATGACTATTTCATAAGCATGTGTTTATAAATCATGATCAAATAGTGATGATGCCAGGTGTTCGCGAAAAGGTGAGCGTATACCGCTGAACAGGTGGCACCCGTCACAAACACCTGAAAAACACTGGAATATATGGTACAAGTTACAATAGGGAATTGCATTCTCCTCCCCATGCCTACCATAAGACGTTTTGGAAACTTTACTGAGGCCTTGAATGTTGTAACCTTCATCAAACAGCATTTGCGTCGTATGACGCTCTTTGAACTCTTGAAAGTTGTGAAATGTAGACAACAAGGGCTGGAGCTGCATCAATATTGCTCGACATAAAGGGAAAGTTGACTATTGGAAAAATGAAGTCATCTCTCTCGTCATACTGTCTTGAAGAGAGTGGTTTGTCATTCTGAATCTTTATGCATAGATCTTAATATGCAACAGATGAAGCAGTCTCACTGGTCTTCTTTATTTCTAGTTCAGGTGGGTAAATCAGTGGAAGGGAATTGGCTAGTTAATGGTTATTGAACGATATCAGATCATCGATATACCTGAAGCTTAAGTTAACTTCTTGGCCAATTACCTTGTTTTGACCATGCCAATCCGAGCAGAAATTCGGATTCATAAAGAAACAGATCAGCCAGAAGGGGAGCACAGGTGGTGCCAATAGGGATACCTACTTCTTGCCTAAATGTCCTACACCAAAATATTACAGAGATGTTATCAATGAGGAAGTCCAGCATTCACATATGTTTTTTCTCAGCAAAGTTCAAATGGCATTTGCTCTCATTTTTGACAAAATATCTTGAACCTCTGATGATAGATATGTAACTATATCTATGGTCACCATGTTTTGCAGCAAACGTTCCATGGATCGAGGAATGAAGTGTTTCCTTAAGTTTGTCATGTGGGATTGTGGTGTACAAAGTTGAAAAAAACAAATGTTTTGACAGAAGTGAACCTGGTTGTTTTCGGAGATTGTAAAAAGTCAAGCAAACCCTTTGAGTTTTTGAGAACCCACATGGTATTAATTCCACTTGTCTCAAAGTCCTTCCTTGATTGTATTAAGGATTATGGTTAATCTTTGAGACATGTACATGCATTAGGTGGTACATTTGCTGGACCCAGCAATATATCTCTCTTTGTGCGGATTTTTTATGGAGCTTTGAAATCCAATACAAACGGGGAATGCACAATCATGTCTTCAGGTATTAGAATCAAGCAAACTGTTGATGGTAATGATGCATGATGTTTGATAGACGTTTTCCTCAGTTAACATACTGGCTTTATATGTGGCATTATTTAATATGTCACTTACACCAAGTTTCTTTATCAAATATTTAATGTAGTGATGCTTACATATAATGGTTATGTTATTTGAGGGCATGTCATTCCACCAACAACTTCACGCACTGACTTTACCCACTCTAAAACACATTCAACAGGTTTCCCCTTCTTCTCTTCGACAGCATCCATAAGGATTTTAAACTTGGTAGGAGGCTGCTCGCGATATGTTGGTCCTCATTTGAATAACTGACGTAGGTTGTTAATGTCAACCTCATCCGAATATATATATGACCTACAGGTCGGTAGTTGTATGCTGAGTCTTGGCAGCCACAAGTAGTGGAATTTGTCATGGGTAGAAATGTGTCGTCTTCTCACAGTATTGTTGTGTAGACTGTAACGACAGCAACTAGTGTTTTATTAACGAATACTTCATTGACAGTAATTGCAAAGTTACACGTTAGTGTGTCAAGGACTCAGCACAAGGAAATGTCATGCATTATTGAATAAAAGCCACAAAACCCTTTCCATTATCATAATAGATCTCTGCTAAAAGAAGAGTCCGTTAAACGATTCCGACAATACCATAAGCATGTGTTCATTAATCACAGAATGTGTTCGAGAAAATATGAGCGTATCCTGACCCACCGGTGGTCCCCGTCACAAACAGAGTGCAAAGGCAAGTCAATTGTTAACCTGAAACAAATACGGGAACACACGGTACACGTCCAAATGGGGAATTGCATCGGTCATCATTTTTGTCAGTGATGCTTCCAATTTGGAATTGTACTCCTCACATCTACCATAAAACCCTTGATAGTGCTACTGAGGCCCCGAATACTGAAACCTTGATAAAAAAAAACGTCTGAGGGAGAGTCGTTTGATGCTCTTTGGAATCTTGGTATAAAGAGCATGCTGGATTGTATCTCAAAAGTTGTTAACTGCAGACACCAAAAGCCGGATCCGGCGGAACACCGTCTGACACAAAGGCAAAGCTGACCACCGGAAAACCGAAGCAACCCCTCCCGCCACACAGACCCGCGGAGAGATAAGAAATCCACCTGACTCTATCATAAGCATGTGTGTATGCATCACTATCGATGAGTGATAACACCAGGTGTTCGCGAAATGGTATCCTGACCTACCGGTGGCACCCGTCACAAACACACTTAACGTGTCGTACATCTTTTTAGTAAATTCCTCTTAAGGTCTCCATAACATTTCTAGGATAACTTAACAAGGCCTTTGATGGCAAAATCCTGTCTGCAAAGCTTAGCTGTAAGGACAATCTGCATTTTCGTGAATGATATGTACACGTTCGTAAGTACCTAGATGTAGCTGATTGTATATTGTTCGACGGAAAAGGAAGTTCACGTGTGAAAATCGAACTCATCCCTCTTGTCATATAGCTTGGTACAGAAGTTGCCATCATTTTGAGAATCTATGCATCGATTCAGGTAGGATACTGAAAACGGTTTCTCAACTGTTTCTAACTCTGGTTGATAGGTGAAGATACTCAGTTATCTTGACATTGTTGA